ATTTAAAAAAATCATAGGTAGTTTATTACTTGTATGTATATGGATTGAGCAAGTAGTAAGTAGTAACAATACACATGCGTATATTATGCGTGTTGAATGTATCAATCAATAATCAATAGCTGGTATTTAAGACACTCCTAATAATCATGTGTAAACTATAGGAAGGAAATTGTTGTATACTACTCTGTCCAGTGAGAGAACCCGTCGATTTTGCGCATCCTCCCACGTCACCGTGCTATCGAAATTGGTTCCCTTATGACTGGTTGCCGCGGGGGGATGCGTAGAAAAACCAAAATTTAGTCGGCACGCGGTGCGTTCTCTCGCTGGACAGAGCAGTACAGATTTAATATATATATAGATGAAAAACTTAATTTTAACATAGTTTTGCTGTTATTAAAATGGAAGTTTATCGGAACCAAATCAGTATTTTACCATCACCCCGGGATCGATTCCGTTATTTGGTGAACCGACTCGTCGCCGTGTAAATGTCGAAAGTAATATTGTTACCGCGCGTTATATTATACCAAATTAAAGAATCTTTATAGAGTTTTTTTTTACATAAAAATAATTAAATTCACTGACGCGCGGACGACATAATATTTAATATTATATGCAAGTACAATGTACCTAAAATTATTTGTACTGTAAATTGTCATCATTATGTGGAACAGCAGTATATTTGTGCTTCATTTTTGGGGTCGCTTTTTAGTCTCGCGCACGTGATTAGCGTTCGAAAAATAAACAAAAAAAGAAAAAGGAAAAAGGTTCGTTTAGGACTCGTGTTATATATATAAATTATAAATGTGTATGCGTGTGTTTGGCACTTGTTCRCGTTTCGTATAGGTATATATACTTCTCTTCCTGTACTACCATCGCCCTGCAGCATGCCGTTTACATCACCGGTCGGTGTCGCTTAAATTACGCGAAAACAATCTATACCGGATGACAGTTGAAATGTGGCACATTTCCACTGGGAACCCGTGAACAGTATATAGCTATATATGTGTATGGGCTATATAGGTGCGCATCACCCGCCGCTGTGGACGATTTTCGTTTCTACATCTTTCAGAATCCGTTCTGATGACGACCTGCAACAGCAGAGGATGTAGCTATTTTTCGACCATCTTCGTTTTATTTTTCCCAAACAGCCTTGAGCGCAAAACATATATATATATATATATATATATAGGTACATATAATATAAAAAAAATACTCATACTATATATACGCGTAAAACGCGTTTGACGAATAACAATAGCAATAATATAATATACATATATAATATATATATATATAGGTACGCAGTCCTTGGACAAATTTCGCGGTCGACCCAGAAACAATCGGATTCGGCGATCGCGGCCTCACCGAGGTCGTCATACAATTTATTATTTTTATGATCTCCATCGTTATAATATTATTATTAAGACAAAAGAGAATTAAAGAAAACAAAACGATCGCTTTTCGAGATCGCTCGTCGTTTATTCGACACGGMCGTTTTTATAATGACCAGRTATACCCGTGTAACCTATAAATACAGAGTGATTCTTTTAACAGCGTTTAACAAGTTAACTCTCTTGTCTGGTTATTAATTTATTATACGTTTTTTTCATATATATAATTTATTGAATTTATTAGAAAACATAATTGTTGTATATTATTATATAGGTAATTCACACGTTTGCAATAGTTGTTAAATGACAACTGTAGATCCTTTTCTATGACGGTAAAAATGTATGATGTCGTTCAAAAAAGAAAAAACTGCAGACAAATAACAATCACAAAAAGAATAATTTTTTCAATATTTTGATTTAAATTATTTAAAAACGATACTTTCAAAAAAAAAATTCGTTTATAATTTTCGAAATAATAGCGGGGGGAGGGGAGTGGCGTTAACTGTTAAAAACCTCATAACAGAAATTCACAATGAATAGAARCTATATACAGCGTGTAAAGGATCGAACAAGGTCGATTGCGTGTAAATAATATTTTTTTCCACCGATATTATAATACTAAACGACGACGGTCTTAAGCAGCTAAGTATAGTACTATGTATAGGCTATATGATTTAATCATAATGATTATGTATATTAATTATCTACGTTATTCCGATCATGTCGGACGAAATCTTAAAAAAACACGAAACGACCGTTGCTAATGTGTTTTTAATTATTCTTTTATTCTAAACGCCATTGCGAATAAAGACGCTCGTATATAATCAATCACCGTCCTCGTAACTACAATCACGATTATTATAATTTTGTTGGATTTTCACACTCGCGTTTAATGGTGGGGGCGGCCGGACTAAATACAGTTTCGCAAACATTGTCTTGGGATTCAGTTTTAACACCAGTTTTAATACATGGTTTTTATTTTTTAAGTATCTGCCTCGCCAGCTTGGGGCGTGCTCTCAGGAAGTGGTTTTAGGGGTTCAACCCACCCCCAAACCCACACAAATTTCTTTACTCTTTATACTTATTTTTATTAGATAAAAAATTTATATTAAATTCATAAAAATTTAAAACCRTCCCCCGAATAAAATGCTGGGAACGCCCCCGTGCCTATAATTTATTATAATATAATACAATAATAATGATTATAATAATAGTAATAATTTATTGACTATCTGAAGGTACTTTTAAGTAAGAAATCACAATAAAATAATAACGAGTATATATATATATAATGGCCGTGCAACTTACCGCTGATGATAATGTCTTACTGATGGAATTGGAGTATACCTACTAATTAGGTAAAATAGACAATTATACATAGGTATATATCTATCTATATTCTATATATATATATTATGGTTAGTTGGTATATCTTACTGACTTACTATGGTTTTAACTTTTACCGCCGTTATTTATGGCGTAGGATTTTGTACGATTCACGCCACATTCAATGTCAATCGTAAGACTTTTGGTACGCCTTTCCACATCTACGTAGAAAATGGGATCGGACTCCTTGGTCGTGAGAATTAATGTATTATAGTTAAAATTAAAACGAAAAATTAGTACCTATAATACAAGTATACGGAATTGCAGTCTAGTGGTTGGGCAATCGAAGTCCGGTTATAGCAAAGTTTGTTTGCAAGCCGATAGATGGCGTTACTGTCAGGACTGGGGACCACATTATAAATATATTAATACATTTTAAATTAAAAATACTATCTACATAGTACATAGTGTGGTCTGAAGAATCCGAATAATTTAGACGATGTACTGTTATCATTATCCTTTACTGGACATTCTCATACATATTTTAAATGTTTTTAATTTTTGCGGAGAATGGATTTCCGAACGTATTTCTAAACTAAGCTAGATTAATTACACATTTTTGCAAAAATAAAAAAATTGGAAAGAGTAAGTTTTAATGAGCATGCAAAGGAATTGAAAATTGTGTAAATGTAAAATCTAACCTAACCTTGGATACAGCTGCAGGCTTGACGTTGTTCATTTATATATAATATAAGAATGGATAGGCCATCAAATCCTATCAGTTTATCATATAAGAATTAATATTTTGAGATTTTGATATTATGAGGGGTTTTATCAATTATATAACAAATAMAATTAATGATAAAATTCATTTATAGTGTGAGAGCATTTTATAAAGCAGTCTGTGACCACTCAACTACATTCCGGCCCGCAAACCTTTAATTTGTTAATATAAGAATGGTCAATCCGATGTTTGTCATTTTATCGAAATGAAATAGTACAAGTTGTAAAGTTGATTTTAAATCACTCTTACATTGGGTGTTAAAAATAATTCATTTATTTCTGCTCGGTGAAATAGATTCAAAAAAATACAAAAAATCAAACTCTACAAGCAGACAAAAATAATATATATTTAACTTTACATGCTTATAAAAAAAATTGACTGTTTGCTATGTAACCAAAGGCATGCGCACGGGGGGGGGGATCCCTCCTGCATTCTCTGGATTTTTCTTCAATAAATGCATAGATATTAGCTGATATTTATACTATACTAGATTGTTATTATATTTGCATATTGAATTAAATAAATAGCTAGGTATTTTATAAAATTAAAAATTWAATATTTAACTAGACTAGTAGTGATTAGTACAAGAATCTTCGGTAATTGGTTAAGACCTTTTTAATGTGCGGGCCCCCCTTAAGGACAAAGTCTGCGCACGCCTATGTGAGTAACATTCGCTAATTGTAGTTGTATAATGTTGACTACAGTTACCATGAGGTTTCTTCACCATCTAAGAAGTCTGAGATGGTTGTGTAATCTAGTTTTGGGGTTGTGCAGTATGGTTCTGAGGTTGTGTAATATAGTTCTGGGGTTGTATTTGGTTCTGGGGTTGTGTTTGGTTCTGGGGTTGTGTATGGTTCTGGGGTTGTGTATGGTTCTGAGGTTGTGTATATGGTTCTGGGGTTGTATAGTCATGTTTAATGAGAAAATGTTCCTCTGTTTTCAAAACTGGGAAAGCTATGTTGTGTAACGACGTTTCAATAGCCATCCGAGCTTTGAGTTTTTTCTCCATCGGAAGTGAGGATAAAATGGGTAGCAGACTCAGTACAAAATGTTTGTCGTCAGAGATATTATGTTCGTCTTGATTCGAATTATTTGAACTCGCTTTGTCTAAAAAAAAAAAAAAACAAATCACTACGTCATAAACAAAAATAATTGTTATAATATAATAGCATATATCTACGTGAAATACAGTTCAGTTTACAATCGCGGTCGGAATGTTAATACCTATACGTTGTCGTCCACATAACGTTACTTATCGATCATCGATGTACACGAATCGTATATTATTATTATATTATTATGTTTGTCCGTGTACGGCGTGTACATATATTATGTTTATTAGGTACTATTATATTANAAAAAAACAAATCACTACGTCATAAACAAAAATAATTGTTATAATATAATAGCTATATAATAATAGTTAATGTTCTAAATAACTACAAAAGTTAAAGTTTATTTTGATGAAAACTGGTGTTATATATACCAGTTTTCTGMTGTTTATGTTAGCTATTCTTGGTTATTTAGTAATAATCAAATGTATTTTTTTCAAATAGTTTTAAAATTTAAATTATTTTATGAAAAAACATCATAGCAAAAAAAAATTGCTGTATTTCCAGGCTTTATGGGCAAATCTTACGGATATTCCAGAGGAGAAAAACTTTTGTTTTTAACTTTTGCAATTGATTTATACTTAGCAACTGGTCAATTATTCAATTATTTTCTGATCGTCTTTACCGTAAACAACTACAGCAAATTGGCGTTGGATTGAACCGTATTTATTTAGCACCACGCACGCATAATTTCCAGCATCCGACATTTTAACATTCATTATATTGTACTTATTATCGATAAAACCCATACCATCAATTACTGATTTTCTTTCAATGAGTAATTCGTCATTTTTATACCAAGAAAACACCGTATCACTCACACCTGCAGTTAATCAATAGGTATATTAATAAATTATTTTTGATCATCGTATCCAATAGTTATTGACTTATTGTATATTTGTATTTATTTACGATGAACTAATTTCCCAAGTGTCCAACAAACATCAAAATCATTATGTCAAAAGTGAATAATCTGTATACACATTAAATATAATAATGCAATATAACACATTCATCATTTGACGTTCTGAATTGTTTTGTGAAATGAGTAAAGAAGTTTCATCCATTTTAAAAAACTGACAATTATTATCATACAATGTCACGTCAAGTTTTTACTTTTTATAATTTTTATTTTTTACACAATATGGGTAGAAACCTACAGGCTATAATTACCAATACATGAAAATGTGCTGTTGTACAGAATTTGTTTGATTGTTTCACAGATAGGTATATATGTATATCATTCAATTAAACATAAGCTAAAAACTCATTATTAATATCAATTATACATTCTATCAAATAATTCATTAAGTAAATAACGAACGATAAATTATTAACTAATATATTGTAATAATTGAATTGTAAAAAGGAAAAATAAAAATAATAATATTGATAAACCAGAACTCAATGTTCATCAATACACGAGTAGATTTAATATAAAATTGAAATCATCAAAATGAATAATAATAGCAAAGTAATTGCAACTGATTTACATTTAAAAAATACTAGTGGTACCTAGGTATCTCAATATCAGCAAGCTATATTATTTTTTAAACAAAAAATAGTATTTGATATGTATACTCTCTTAAAATCAATGTTTAATATGTAAAATAAAAATCATAAATTAAGTAAAAACACATTATACCCCAATAGTAAAATCAGTGTCGTGTCAAGAAAACTTGTGTAATAGGTATGCTAATTTAAATGTTTGGTGAAAATTTCTAGAATGTATCTTGTTTTATTTTTCAAATTATAAAAAAATAAAATTTATTTTTTTGGAAAATTTGTTTTGGGTGAAAGTTTTTGTTTACCCAAAGTTTTTTAGAAAAGAACCGAGACTTTTCACTTATCGACACCCCTATAAATTCAAATTTCAAGTTTAAACTATCCCTTGATGTGGAAGATTGAAGCTTTGTAATACTATAGAACGAGTTGGCACAGTACAATTATTCAGATAAAAGATTCGCAGAGAAGTGCTAAATATAGCAAAAATATATGTCTTTTATCAAGAAACAGATTGATATCATTGGAAAATCTATGAATCTACAAAAATGATACAAAATACRCAATTATAAAATATTATTGTTTATAAAATGCATTGCATTATCGCTTACTCGTGAACGGACAACTAAGATTTAGTGTACTGTTTACTGATAACCGCGATTCGTTCCCCGTAAAATCTTTCTGAAACTTCGGTTTGGTTTTCCCCTGATATCCGTTGTTGTAATTCGCCCTTTTCAAAACAAAACCGCGCTTTTCGGAAAAAGTTTCGTTGCCGTTAAAGCCATTCATCGTACAAGAATATTGTCCTTCATCGTCCGCTCCCACGTTCTCTAAATCCAACCTATATATGTATATAGGTAACCGTTTAATACAATCATATAATCATGGACACCTACTCGTTTGATTATTTGATAGGCGTCGAAGTAAAACGTGTATAGTTACCACTGCGATATGGTCAAAATTTCATCTGGTAACATCGCAAAAGGATCATCACTGTCTTTAATTTTTTTCCATTCATAATCATTGATCCAAAAGTCTCCAGAATAATCACATTTTACCTTTAAACTGCTGCCAATTCTAGTAAAAATAATTATATCTTCTTCATCTAAAATGAAAAAATACAACTGTAAAAAAATCAGATGAACAGTCAAATTATGCAATCGTAACAGTAATGCCGTGTATATTACAAGTATACACATTTTATAATAAATCATCATAAAAATGAATTTAATCAGATTATATCATCAGGCATAAGTTAACTATACGTATTCCTACGAAAGTTTACAGTTAAAGCTATGGAGTATGGATTAGGAAATTTATGAGGTCTTTACTAAGTTGTTTTATAAAAAATATTGTTTAGTCAATTAAATATTTACGTATAGTTAGTTTTTACGCAGGCAATAATTAGATCACGAATTTAATAAAAAATGTTTACATAGCACTTATAATATTATAAATAGCAATCAATTAAAATGTAGGTAAGCGACAATTATTAATTATTATTCTTGTATATGTTTAGTGTGTATATATGATAAAGATGAGCATTACAATATAAACTATTACTTTCTAATATTATGCTTTTCGGATTAGGTTTTCGGCACAATCCTTCGGTCGATAAAAATATTACGAAGATTGCCACTGACAATATTCTCAACGAATTCGGATGATCAATCATTTTTCTGAAATTTAAAAATGTCTTTACTTATACGTAATAATATGATGCAATAAATATAATTTTATTGTGCATGGTTTTGATTAAGTAATTATATAGTATACATGTTATAATATAGATTATGCTTATAATTTCTATGTTTCAATGAAAGAAGAGTATTCAGTGGCGTATTTGAGGGGCGGCGATGGCGGCGATC